CCCCGTTAAGTGAGATGTGTCTTTTGGTTCCCTCTTTGGACAAAGGATTTGATTCCTTACTTTCCTCTAGTCTTAATCCCTCCCCTTCATGGAAGTTGTGCCTTGAGCCTCCTGACAGACGGCCCTCCTGGTTCCTTTGGCCTGGAGAAGCCACAACAGAAGGTCCAAGAGAGCCCACAGCTGAGGACCTGCTCATATCAGGCCTCAGAACAGGGCACAGTGTGTTCTGTAGCTGTCCCAGTGCACAGAAACGTACTCACAGAATGCCCACCGTGTGATGGTGTTTATGGGCTACAGAGGGAGAGCCTACACTGTCCACCACTGGTGGGTGACAAGTTCAAGTTGCTGTACACTTTCATCATACATAGTTTTGCTGTCACACTGTAGTAAACTTCCTCATACTGAATTATTATTATTTTTCTAATTAGAGATGTAGCCAGGCACAAGAGTTGTTAATCCATTCTTAAACCTAGTCGTCATTTTGGTTACTGGATGGTAAGTGTATTTTAGAAACAAAGTTTCTTGGATCCTGGAGATTGCATGTTACAAGTTTAGACATTAAGAAGTGTCATGGAACCAACATTCTCTCTGAAAGCACGTTGACAACCACCTGGAATCCCTATTTCCTTTACACATCTTTTTGAGGTTTACCTAACCATTCTTCAACTAATCAGCTTGATTCTTGGTTCCATAGACCATCTCCCGCTTGTAATTGCTGTGCACATCTGTATGTATTTATGTTGATTTTATGTATTTATTTCCTTCCCATTAGGCCTTAATCTCCTCGAGGACAGGAATCTGTGTAATCTTTGTTCTGCATCCCCGAGTGCCTGGGATTGTCCTGTGATACCTGTGCGTAGCCAGTAGATGAAGGGATCGTCCACTCTCTGAGGGGCACTTCAATGCTGGGTTGGCGTGTTTTACTAATCCTGCTTCCATCTCTTTATCAGCCAGTGCATGTCAAGAAATGCTGATGTCAGCCACGGGATGGTACAATTAGGAATGAAATATACTTCTGAAAATGTCTAATACACTTCAAAGTCAAGAGTACACTACTTATGGATTTCCCATGGCTTTGTAGGTAGTGAGATGGCATTTAAATTGAGGGTCTAAATTTCTGATTATGAGCAATTATCCATCTTATAATCAAATATAAATTTTCTAGCTAGTTCTTAAATATTTTAAAGTATGTTTCTCTTGCCAGATGCTTTTTAATTCTCCCTAGAGCATTCTGTTGGGCCCCTCACCATCATCTCCTGGATTTTGAATCTGCTCCCATAGTTCAGGGAGTTTCCCAGGGACCCCCTTTTGGAACAAGGTTCTCTGTCCTCTGGTATTGTCCACCAGTACTGCTGACTCTCAGGTCCAGTGCTTAGATCTTGCACAATCATAGCTTTAGCTCATTCTTCAGTCTTCTCCTCCAGGCCTCTTGCTGGGCTGCAGTCTGAATATACATAGCTGCTTTTCTCCCATGGTAACCTTGGACTACACACTTGGGAAATGCATTTGGGAGCTCTCCTCCTCTTCCCTCTGCCTGTGGCTGAATGCAGCATGCCCACCTTGCATATGCTGGCCTCTGCCTGCTCTTCTCCCCTTATGCATCCTTAGCAACCCACCCACCTGAGCTTGGCACTCTCAAGAGCCTCCCTCTATTTAGTGGTCTTTGTGGTCTACCAAATGACTTCAGAATGAATTGCCAATTAACTAGAAATGCTATATTTTGGAAATATACCTTCCTCTTTTTTTTTTCTCTTGGAATATAAGTTCTTCATCCTGATGCTCCAGATGTATCCATCTATCCATCCATTAGTTTGAGGGAAGATTATATATTTTTGCATAAGGAAATCAACATGGAAAGAGTAGCTGCTGACATATAAGAGATTTTGAACAAAGGAGTAGGTTTGAGAGCCAGCCAGGCATTGTTGAAAAAGGTGTCCTCTAATACCTTCTCTGTTCCCTTTAGCAAATGACCAATTTAGCATGAAGGGTGCTGGGAGAACCCCTCTGGCGTGGAGAAGATGACCTCATGCTGTGTTCTCCAGGTCGGCTCCACGGCAGCTGAAGAGGAGGATGGAGAGGCCCTGCAAGAAAAGCTGACTCCTTCTAGCTGCAGAGGTTGTGCGATGGAGAAGAGGGAGAGAGAGAGCAGCACAGATGTCCCCCTTCCCAGGTACTTACTGCGAGGGGCAGTAAACTCCAAGACACAGCTTGGGACTGGGCAGGAGGCTCACAGGCCTTCGGAGCCAAGCTGGGTCAGGGTTGTGCCTACCAGATAACACAAGGAGCTCGGGCAGAGGTAGCTGTGAGGCCTGTCATCCCGGAGCCAAGCTTGGATCCTATGTAGATAGGTTCTGGAAAGAGCTGAGAGCACAGTGAGGAAACTTGGCAAAAGAGTGTCACCGTGCTGGGGTCAGAGGGCTCTGCAGCACAAGTGCACATCGGACCTCCAGCCAGGCCTGATGGCAGTCACAGCCAGGCCTCAGGGGGTCTCCAACCCCCACAGCAGCTGAGGTGAGGCCGCCAGCCAAGGGTCACTCCCAAGCCCTGCACAGCCCCAGCCCCAGCCAAGAACAGGGAAATGGCTCTGACCACAGACCTGAGCCGTTGGTGCAGCAGCAAGCAGCACCTGTGTGGGCAGGGAGGGGGCCCTCAGGACAGGGAAGGGGACTTGCTCCTAGAATGGGTATGACCCTTGAGGTGCCATACGTCCTACCCCCTCCTCCTCATTCACACCTACATCACTGTCACTGAGCAGGGGAGGGGGGCTTTCAGATACTGGGAATTTTAAACAAAATGATATAAAACGTTTATTTTGGGAGGAGGTATTGGGGATTTAAACCAGAGGCAATTTACATGGAGCTACATCCCCAGCCCTTTTCATTTTTTTATTCTGAGACAGGATCTCACTGGGTTGCTGAGTCTGGCCTTGAATTTGTGATTCTCCTGTCTCAGCCTCCTGAGTTGGGTGGGATTATAGGTGTGCCCCACCACACCTGGATTAAATATTTCTTGAGTAGACAGTTAACATTATTGGATCGAGATAGATTTTTAAGTTCAACTAGGTTTGCATTAGTCTTTCTCATCTACCTTTTGAGGGACCAGATCGTTTACTGATGAAATACTGAACCTCGTTGTGTGAGATAAATTTTATGACTCTTGACACTTGGAGACTGGCCGTAGTTGAATCATTTGCCTTTCCTGGGATATGAACATGATAATAGCTTATTCTAAGCAGTTTAAAATTGTAAATCGAAGCACTTCATTTTCAAGTCTGAGACACAGGTTGGTAAATGATGGCCTGTGGGCCAAATCTTGGCCCAGTGTCTGTTCTTATAAATAAAGTTTTATTGGAACATGACCATGATTGTTTGTTCACATGTTGCCTGTGGCTGCCTCGGTGTGGTGATAGCAGAGCTGAGTGGCTGCATTGAAGACCATGGAGCTGCAAGGCCCAGAGTGTCTGTCACGGGGCTCTTTGTAGGAAATGATGGCCAACGCCAGGTGTTGAACATGGGGCTTTACTGAGCATCTTGCTCACTGTCCTCTTTAGACAGGTGAGGCCACTGAGGTTCTGAAAAGCCAGGTGACACGTCTGAGACCCCACAGAAAGTAAGAGGAGGGGTGGAGACCGCAAACCATGGGACCATAAAACTGGTACAAGGCAAGTGGGTGAATCTTTACCGAGCGGAGTACTTTTGAACATCCTCCTCTCAAACAACACCCTCCAGCCTGCATGGGTATTAGGAATTAAATGTACTAATAAACCCAAGAGGAAAATTAAAGTAATGAATGAAAATTCCCTCCAACCTGTGGAATCATCTGGGTTTTGTAACAACGGAAAAGACCCAGTTCAAATAGTGGCTCTGTGCTCAAATACACATAAGACCTGCATTTGGGGACACTTGCATGTTTTTACACTAGGTAACTAAGCCCCCAAAGAGGATCCGGTGTACCGCTTTGCTTAGTTTGGGGATTTAGAAAATAACCTAAAAATTGATAGCTTAAATCTTAAATGAAATTCTGCCTCAGGGGACATCTGTCACCCTGATTCTGCTTGAAGAGGCTGTCAGAGAAACCAGGGCTGCAGCACTCCATGCTGCTTTCCAGTCTCCTGGAGAAACACTGGGGCAGAACAGAACGGTAGCCACGTTCTACCCGTGCCTCTCGTGGCTCAGAAGACTCTTCATTGGCTCTTTCATTTGATTTCCCAACCAGCTTCCACTTCTGGGAGGAGGATCTGGCCCTGCATCTCCACTGAGACCCGGAGGAACTCGCAACCCTCACCTCACCTCACCCTCGGAGATGCCTGACATGTCAGCCCACACCCTTTGAAACATTGCTGCCTCCTCCCTTGGCTTCTCCAGGGCCCTGCTCATGCAACTCCCCCTGCTTGTCCTCAGTTCATCTTTCCTCTGTCACCCACCCTCGAATGTCACCATCCCGCAGGGTTCCCATCTCTACTGTCTCTCCTTCTTCTGTACATCCACTTGGGAAATCTCACTGGTAGTGGTGACTTCAACTACTAACTGACTGAGATGAGTCCACAACTCTCTTCTGAACCATAGACTTTATTTCCCTTTACCTATAGAACGCTCCTATTCAATGTGCCTCATATCTCAAGCTCAGAACGTCCTGAGCTGAAATGCAGTGCTTCCCCTAACCCTGAAACCGCCTGCTAGGCTGCTTGGCTTCCTTTCGCGGCTCCCTGGATCTTTGAGGAGTGAAGGTCCTGACTTGCACAGAGCCTTCTGTGAGCTGGTCCCAGCAGCCTCCTCTTGGACTTCCCCACCTCTGCGATTTCTTGCCTCCTCCTTCCTATTTTTCTGTTCCTTTGTCCTATTCATCGTCACTCCCCCTTAGATCAATGAGAATGTGATTGGCTTCCAGGATTCAGGTCAAGCAGCTGCCTTCTCCATGATAAGACACGGGCAGCAGGAAAAGAAGGACAGGATGCTTCTTCCTCTCCCTGCACACGCGTGCCCCCCGAAGTCACCATCTTGAAGGAGCAACTTTGGCAGCGACCTCTCCCCTTGGATAGGGCTCTAGCTGACAGCAGTTGGTTTGAAATTTTCCAGTCCTCCCATACATCTGGGATTATCTTACTAGCCTGACTTTAGTAACTGTGGGCCAAGTGAGTGGTACTTCTTGGAGTAATCTATCAGAGTGCTGTTAGGGAAAGTCTTCTAGAGAAACACAATGCAATCATCAGAAGCTGAGTGAGGTCTTATTGGGAGCAGAACACAGCACACGGCAGAGCATTTCCTACGTTTAGAGGAGGCGGCACAGTGGGGTTGGAGGGCGTGGTCTGTCAATTCCTGAGCTTGAATTCTGGCACAGCTACCTTTTAGGTTTGTAACTGTGGGCAAATTTCTGAACCTGTCAGCGCCTCAGTTTCCTTGTCTTTGCAATGGAGACAGTAATAGTGGTATCTTCCGGATGAGATCATGGTGAGGGGTATATTCGTGTGTGTGCATATAAACATGTGCGTGATGCACACACAAACACACATCTTTAGAACAGTGCCCAGCCTTGAGGGAGTGTTACTTGTTACTATTTTCAGCTTGTTGGATGACTAAAGGAAAAAAACCAAGGTTCAGTACCACTAGAAAGATCATTTCCAACTAGGGTTGAATAGTTTCCCCTCTTTTACACCAATAAAACCAACCACCAAACTCTCAACTCTCCAATTAAATTGTGCACTGAATAACAAGCTCCTGCATCTTGTGTTTGTTTAGGTTAGCCCTTTACACTAGGAAAATCGCTTTCACTTACTGCTATATTAGGTAGCAGTAAAAACAAGGCTTTTTGAACACGCAATTCTTTACTTTGTTTGCAAATACTTTGATGGACCTCTTCTTAAATAGCTGGGTCAAGCAATTATAGAGACTTCAAACACCAGGGAGCCCTGTTAACAGGAGCCACTGTGCTCCTCTGAGTTTGTGATCTCTCTGGCCTTTGCTTCTCACAACAGTGAAGTCCCAGGAGGAAGGAGGACTGGGCATTACTGCACTCAGTTTATGTATAAGAAAACAATAAAAAGGTAACACACTCGTTCTGTGTCTGCTGACTCTCTGTCCTATCACATTCCAGTGGGTGGTTTCTAACTTTATTTTACTTAACTTTTTTCTTAATGTCAGGCTGTGCTGAACCCATTCAGACCCTGGCGATTTTGCCTAGGGGCCACAAAAGCCCTTCTGGTGACGTTTTCCAAATCCAGTGACTTCTTTAGGATGATTCTGACTCTTGGTTTTTCCCTGCTGCTGCTCAAGAAGCCTAGTGATGCAAAAGCAGCTAAGGCGATTCTGGTCACGGCAAACAGAAAACAGCTCAGCAGAGGAAACGGGCCTGTTCTGCACTCGATCTTCCTCCTTGGTGTCGGTTTGGTGCATGGGGCTGACCTCCTCCTCCTTCCTGGCTCCAGCACCGCCCGCCACTCTGCTTCATGCCAACAGGATGTCCAGCCTGGGTTGTTCTCATGTCCTTGAAACCGATCTCCCTACAACCCACCACTCCTATATACTTCTAACCTCTACTCCAATTGGGTGCCAGAGGATTCTTTTCAAACTGCAAATCCAGTCACATCTCTGCTCTTTACCTAAATCCCCTCAGTGGATTCCCACTGGTCTTGGGATCAACTAAGATTCCTTCACCAGGGCTGCATCATCGGACTGCCCCTGTGTATGGTTGAGGTTGCGAGCTGTTCAGTTATGCCTGTTCCTCTTGCTCTTGTGACACAGATGTCTACAACTTCCAGACTCCCTTACTATTAGGGGTGACCATGTGACTGGAGTGTGACACTGTGCCATGTTGAGGCCTCCAGGGAGTGTGACGAACGATCCTACCAGGTGCGTGGATGGTAATACCATGATGTTGAGGGCCACGTGTTCAAGACCGCAGAGGGGGATGAGAATTACTTATTGTATCTGAAATTGAAATTTAACTGGGTGTCCTGCAGTCTTATTTGGTAAACCTGGCAGCCCTACATTGAGTTCAGCCACTTACCAGATTCTTCACCTTAGGTAAGAACTTTACCTGGAGAGAATTAAGGAAGCTCTACTATTTCAGATGCCTAGCACAGTGTCAGCGCTACACTTAGTGACCCCAGAATGCTTCCTCCTTATGAGAGTTCACATACAAGCCTGCCCTTTCTCGTCCTTCCGGGCCTGGCCTATTGCAGGACATAGGACTTACCATCAGGTCCTCCAGTTACATCCACATCGAGATGAAAAGGTTGAACTCACACAAACAGAGAGCAGAACAGTGGTGAGGCTGGGGCCAGGGAGAAAGGGTAGCCACAGGTCAAAGTGCAAAGCATTGTGCATTTCAAAATTGCAAGCAGAGTAGATTCTCAGTGTTCTCCACACACAAGAATGGTAAGTATGGGAAGTTAAGTCACTAGATTTAGTCATTCCGCAAAGTGTGTGTCAAAATGTCCGTCGCACCTCCTAAACACAGACACTCAACGTCAGCTAAAAAATGAAATGGAATGAAGAGATTCCAATGGAAAAAAAGATATGATTATCCATGTTTTAAAAGTTTAATCCTATTATTCATATTCGTGATAATAAAAACTACTATTATTGCAAGAAAATATTCCATTACTGTGATAAGAGCCACATCCTTTGTGTGCCACGTTCCAGGTATGTATGTGCTAAGCCCTTCATGTGTGTGGTTTTATTCATTTCTTCCAGTGAGCCCGTCAAAGAGGTATGACATAATTTCCACTGGACGGACGTAACACACAGAGTCTGGGTCACTGCTGGGGGTCGCACCATGGAGCCGAGCGGTGGCAGCCTGCTGTCGGACTCCTGAGTATGCTCTCTCAGCCAGAACACCAGGACATCTGTACCTGGCAAGTGAGTCCAGGCCTTCACCCGTGAGCGTTCTTTCGTACTCTACGGGACGACTTTCCTTAGCCCCTCTGTAAGCCTGGGGAGTTGATTCTGCTGCCCAGCTGGTAAGTCAACCATCCCTTTTGCACCCAGAGCTGATTTTATAGAAATCTAAATACACTTTACTAGTTTTACATGTTAACACTGAAAGGAAAAAAAAAAAAGTTCCCTGTTTGCCTTTGAGTCAAGGCGACCCTTTGGTTTTATGGGCTTGTTTTAGTAAGTAATTATCCTGGTAATGCCAAGGCCTCCTTTATGGAGCCATAAATGCGTCCTGGACAGCTCAGGCTAACGAGCAGGCCCTTCATTTGAGGCCCTGCTCAGCTAACTGCGCGCCGGCCGGCCAGCCCCTGCAGATCGCTCTCTTTCTCTGGAAACCTCCTATGAAACCATGTGAAGGGGGAAAGAGGATCAGATAATTGGGATCTTTAAGATGGTTATTATGAAAAATGTTCTGGAACCAATTCAAATACCAATCAGAAACCACATTGTTCAACTAAATCACTTTCAGATGCCACATAAGATACAAAATACAATTATTTCCAGTTTAAAAATATAATGTTCCTTTAGAAAAACACAGCATTCTATTTTATTATTTTTTTAAAAATCTGCCTTGGCTGGAATTCAGGCCCCTCACAGATGATGTACAGACAGGCTTTGTGCTGGTCCCTTTAGATTCGGGGCCTATAGACCTCACTGTAATGTATTTAAAAGTTCCTTAAAATGGATGTGACGGCTGTTTTCTTTGTGTATTACAGAAATATACAGAGTTCAGAGGCTGCACGGCTACACTTGGGGCATGTATGTCATTAAAAGAATGAAGAAAAGATGATGGCGGTGCTGTGTTACACCCCCTGGAAATGCTGGCGGAATTCGTGGCTCCAGGCTCTTTTACCTGACAGGCGTCAGTTTGGTGAAGCAGTTTCCTTCTTACCTTTTCTACCTCTCTCTGTCTCCCCCTCCCCTCCTCTCCTTCCTTCCGTCCTTCTTCTTTCCTCCCTCCCTCTCTTCCCTGCTCTCTCTCTTTTCCCCTCTTTCATTTACTTCCCATCCTCTTCTCGGCCACAGAATATCTGGGTGTTGTTTTCACCCCTGGAAAGGCCGATACCACAAGGTCTCTGTCCGTCTCGGCTTCTCTTGACTGTCTTCTGCACCTTGGGTGTAGACTGTTCTTCCTCTGCCCAGACACACTCTTTTCTCTCTGACTCAGGATTCCCTGAATCCGCCCCTGTTTATCTGAGCTGTCCCCGTGGGGAATACGGGGTCAACACACAGTGTGACCTCAGGAGTGATTTCAGTTACAGCAGCTCCCACGTGATCCATCAGACTCAGCAGGAATTTTAATGGACTCAGAACCCCTTCTCCTGCCTGAGGTCACTGGCTCTCAGAGCAAATCTTCCACAAACTGACATGGACCCTGGAGAAGTTGTCTGCTCTGTCAAGAGAGGTATGGATCTTGCCTTCAGATCTCTGGGGCATGCTGTCCCCCTCCATGGAACTGGAGGGAAACACCAAGCCATTAGAGAGTATAGAATTACTATGGTTTAATGTGGAAAAATCCAGCCCACTCAGAGCCGATCCGGTGTCTGACAGCAGGGGCGGGAGCCCGAGGCTGGGTTCTGCTCTGGCTTTGCCCTTGACAAGCCGCGCGGCTGGGCAAGTCGCCTGCTTGCCTTAGGTTCAGGCCACAAGCTGTATGGAGGGCTGGTGATGAGACCCCCAGTTCTGTGGGGGCGAGCTGAGGAGGGCAGGGTGGGAGGTGAAAACATGGCAGCGAGCCTTCGAGCCTTCGTCCTCAAAAGTACAGAACCCAGTCTCCCAAAGTCCCGAGCGGTGGGAGAAGGACAAACAATGGCGCTTCAGGGTCACTGGCAACACAGGCATGTGATCCAGGGCTCTGTTCATCTCTGCTGCCAGCCAGAAAGCCACCTGGGCACAAGGACTGTGCCTCTCATCTCTGTGTCCTCTCCTCTGCGACTGCTTGTTGAGTGTGGGGAAATGGGAGGAGCCTCGGTGACACTCAGGAAGAGCAAGAGGCAGAAGGAGGCAGGGATCCAGCAGAAGAGCACTGGGGAAGTGCAGGGGCCACAGTAAGGGCCGGCGATCGATGGATCGGCAGCCCCAGGAGAGGAGAGTGGCTGCTCACTGTCATGCCCCCACCTCCCACACCTCTTATAAGCACATAAGCAGAGGCCTCTCTTTTCCCACTTTTTAAAAAACTGGAATACTATATACAATCTGCTTCCTGTATCTTGCTGTTTTGCTTTCAAAATGCTGTAAAATCCCTCTAGGTCAATTAGGAGCCATCCACCTCTCTTAACTCAATCTTTTTAAACAATGTCATTGACAAGTAAAATTCATGTATTTTCAAGATGTTCAACAGGATCATTTGATATGCAGATGCACCGAGTCACGATTACCACCATCAAATCCATGACCACCCATGGTAACCAGTGTGTGTGCGTGTGTGTGTGTGTGTGATTTAATATCCAATTTATTGTCAAATTTAAAGTAAACGATCAGAAAGTTAAACCATTGTTAATTGGCTAATAAGCAGAATAGTGAGAAAGTCAATCTTTAACCAAATATTACATAGCTACAGAAGATGTGGTAAGTCTATGACCTACCTTTCAGAGCTTGCTGTAGACTGTCTTGCATACTTCTTACTGATGTGAGCTGGACTAATTAGTACAAAGGGGCAGAATGGTCTAGGGATGAGCAGAGAGTAGGTTCAGAAACACTCAAGCACAGCCTTCCTCCCCATAAGATCCTTGAAAGCTCGAGTTACTTAATAGAAAAGAATTACTGGGGAGCGGCGGTGCAGAAGATTAGGGCCAGAAGAAGGTGAGAAATGGAAAATGTGGACCTGATCATTACATCCAAATGGCCAGCTCAGCTGAGCATTCTGCGTCTAGAAGGAAAACTGGCTTAAACCAACCCGTGAGGAGGGGTGGAAGACCACCCTCAGATTAGAGACTCAGCCCCAACCCCAGGGAAGAAAGTGGACTAAGCAGCACCATTCAGAGAACTTGTGTCTGTTCTGAGGACCAGAGTGATGCCTTCTGAGGAAAATACTGGAAACGTCTAAAAGATAAGGAAATCATGAGCCGGGAGTATGCGTTTCTGTAGGACAAACCGTGCCAGGAAAATTATACTCCTTAGAGAAAAACTTCATAATATTTAGGAGAAAATAAAGTCGAATCGATGTTATTTGTTAGAGTTTTACAGACTATTTGGTTCAGAAATTGCAAAATTGTGTTTTTTAAGTTATTTTGAGAGTTTGTTTCAATTGGCATAAATTATAATGTGTTGCAGAGGCTGCTTGTGAGACAACCAAGGGAGAGACAAGTTCAGGGCTGCAGGCCGGGAGGCAGGACTGTTTCTATCTCTTTCTTATAAATATTTTTATTGCTTTCTGACAGAAAAATAAAATGGAACATTAATGAAGTTGGCATTTAAATATTTAGTTTGGGAACGTGAGTGAATACTAGAAGATGGCAGTATTAAGAGATGAGGTTATTTCTCATCTTTCACTGGATTCTATGAGAAGCCAGAAGCAGAGAATTTATTTATTCATTTATTCAGGCAAACATTTATCTCTCCATAATCATATCGATCCCATAATAAACACAACAGGAAGATATGGAAAACAGCAACTCTCTATTATTAAGCTTGCTTTTAAACTTCCTCATCCTTAAAATGTAGATAAATGCAGCTAATTCCAAAGGTGCGTGTTGGGTAATGATCCCATGAAACAGCATAGTGCTTAGCACAAAGTCAGGATCCTTAGGGAAAATGCATTGAGCACCTACTATATGCTAGGTACTCTTTGTTTTATGTATCAATTTGTCGGATGCTCACAACAACTCTCAGTCAACTCAATCTCAGTTTATGGGTAAAGAAACCAGTTCACAGAGCTTTAAGGAACTTGCTTGAGCCTGGAGCCGTGTGGCTGAGATTCAAACCCAGACAGTCTGACTCCATTGCTCATGCCTGGGAGCTATTATGGTCATTACGACAACTACTAGGCTGGGCTGAAATTGCAGCAATAAGAATTTAAATTTAGACATAAAGTTCTTAACTATAGAGATTATACCAAAAAGTAGAATGGAAAAATTTTAAAATATGAAAATCCTTAGAGATTTCAAAGCGTATCCCAGGTGTCAGTTGGGGTCCTACCATCCTTTGGAGACCTAAGCCAATCTGTATGGGTTCAAGGTCGGAGCTATCTCTAGATTTCTCAGTGACTTCCTTCCTCGTGGTTTTCTCTGCCTTGTCTTGGATTCATCCTGTATCATCCCCAAACATGAGCTTGGTGTGGTGGTCGTACTGACCATCTGAGAGGTTTAGGGGAGAGGTCACACCACACGTAGCGTTATGAACTTCCTGGCTCCATCTTTTACAAGAGAGCAAATTCACTTGGCAGATGTGCCAGTTTCACGCATCTAGTAAGTAGTGGAGCCAGGACTCCAGGCAGGGCCTGCTGGCCGAGGGGCCCATCAGCCAGTGCAAGGAAGAGAGAGACGGCCTCATTCCTGCAGCTATTCCTTGGGAGGCCTGCATTTGCTCTCCGTTAACAAAAGTGAAACAGGAATCACCAAAACGAAGGTGAACCAGTCCCAGGGGAAAGTTCTTCTAGAAACATGAATGGGCCCCAAGTAAAAACAAGACAATCACGTTGAAAGTTAGAAGTGTTTCTACCGTGTCCATTTGTATGGAGCACAGGGGGCCCTTGCCATCTGACCTCTGGTTGGGTTGGGCCAGTGGCAACCTGGCAGGAGGCTGGAGAGAGGAGGTCAGGCTGCTTAGGACCTCAGCTGTCTTGTAGGGCCTGAAGTGATCGCCAACCGGAGGCTCGAAGCCTAGTGAATTCCAAGGAGAAAATTGGCAGGATGAGAGGACTTGGGATGCCCTAAGCTCCTGTGGGCGCATAGGCAGAGGTCAGTGTGGCCAATTCAAAATTCATGTCTAAATTAAAATGCCTTTTCCTACATTTGTGGCTCAGCCTCACAGCTGCATTAAAGTTTTCTGTCGTCCTTGAGTGTGAAGACACACAGTTTTCCTCCATTCATCAATGCAGTCATTTTCAAGTGTAAGTGATGAAAACCATAAACATACATTTTAATTTTTATGATTATGTAGTATAAAAATAGAATTGCCAGGGATGCATATTTTAGTGAGATATATGATGAAGGTTTATGGTGTTTCCATTAAACAGGATGACCGAAATATTTTAAATTGTTCCTTTGTCTAAACATGCCAAAGAATGTCACACCTCAGGACAATGCACAGCTCCCACTGGGCCGGGGCCAGGGTGTGTCTTTGATCTAGGGGAAGGCAGGCTTTGTAAAGAGGGAAGAGAGAAGGGGAGGGAAGGGAAGATTCCCTGCGTGGCACCCACCCAGGCAGACTGCTTTCAGGAAAGAGCAGATATGGAAGCTGAGTATCTAGAAATTAATTTCCTGAAAACTATTTGTGTTTGCACATCTTTTGAAATGTTTTGTGTACCCTTGGGAGTAAGCATACCAGTTTGAAGATATACACATATATATATTCAATATAGTTTCTTAAAATTTTAACAAACATTTTACCCCAAGTGGTAAAACAAAAGTGCAGCCAGAGGCAAGAGTGGACATGAGGGCCAAGGCCACTGAGACTTGGCACTGGGTAGGCGCACAGTGGGAGAGGTTCTATGTAGATATGTGTCAATCATCAGGAATTCTGTTCCAATAGTAATTTCACTGCAGTGTAAACTTCATGAGACTACCATTGCCAAATGTCTTTTTCTTTCTGAAAAGTGACTTTTAAATGAATTATTTAAATTGAGTGAAGATAACAGAACTCATTCATCTTAGCTCCAGTGACTTCTCCTAGTTTAGGTTCACACAGGAGGCCCTACTCATTATGAAACATCACAAGACTCTTTCACTTTACAAATAAGAGGAGAAAATATGACCAAAACTCTTAAACAAAATGTACTGGGTTAATTTACATTGATGAATGTCACAGGCTTCAAATTACTCCTAGAATCAGTTGAAGATTTACTTCAAAAGTCCTAAACATTTTAGAGTGTCCAATAATTCAAGTTATTTAGTAAGTAAACCTTGCTATTGAAGCCAAAGAAATCAGGCCTTTTATCTTCATTTCAGAAAAGTGGAAAATAGCAAGATCTCAGTATAAACCAACGATTTGTTTTCAATTATTTGGCATGAAGTCTCACATATTTTAAACTCAGTCTTAGCTCTCAGAATACCTTGCAGCAGAAGTTCTAGACATTGTAAGATAAATGGTCCCGGGAGTACCCCAGCCATCGGAGGCCTGCCCCAGTGTGTTCCACAGCGCCCCCCACCTGGGTTTTAAGGAAAGCTGGACACAGCTTTAGTAGCCTAAGCAAAGCTGGTGGAGCCAGAGCCTGGTCCAGACCTCAGAAGTGTTTGTGGGAAAAGCAAAGGAGAAGGAAACGCAGGAGAGGAAAGGAGGAAGGAAGAAAGGGCGGGGGGG